TAAAAAGGAAGTATTGTAATCGCGAAAAGCTTCGGGCAGCATATTTCAACGAAAATATCGACTTTCACCGCTATCGAATGCAATTTAACGATGTTTTTGGGTGATATCTGTACGTAAGGACAGAATAAAAGACTCTTTTTCTCCAAAATAAACTAAAAAACTGCTTTAAAATGAATTCTGAAGAGAATTTTTCGTGGCGTCTGTACGAACGTATGTACGTACGTGCCTCGCATAGCTCAAAAACGAGTAGCCTCAGAACGTTAAAATTTTGTATATAAGACTACTGTAGCATGTAGATGTGCAGCTCGTATTTTGGTTTCAATCGGCCGCGCCAAACGTATATCCACTCTGTTACCCGGCTCAGTGATCTCAGTTTCTTTACACTTATATGTTTGTAAATTGTACATTTTTTGCTTTAAAAATGATTGAATTATGTTGTTTTAATCTTCCGGTTAAAGATTTTATGCCTTTAGTAAATCTCTATGCAATATTTTTAGAATTATCAACAATTTTAAAGTTGTTTAAGTGCCGCTAAGCTTAATACTTCTCTTGATGGCTGCCATTGTTTGTTTACATTTGAAACAGCAGGATAGTGGAATTGTTGCCAATCTAGAGAAACTTAGCTTCGCAACAACAAAGATAACGCCTTCATTTATTATTGCCAATTAAATCATGCTTAATCCTTTCTGGAATTTTTTCGAGGAAATAAGCTTTTAAGATTTACTTCCTAATTTTTAATATAGATATTTGGAGTTTTTATTGTATTTCTGCCTTCTCGCGAAGTGAGAACTGAATTAATTGAATGAGAAATACTCAATCGTTTGTGAAAAACTGTTGCTTTTTTGTTTTGTTTGCTTAATTTTTTTATACATCATTCTAGCTTTATTATAGTATTTGAATAGAACATGTGGCAACGATTCGATAATTCTACTCTTTAAATGATATAAATTTTGTGCATTCTGAGTTATAATATGAACGAAATATAATACTGTTAAATGAACCTAGCGCCAGAGTGTCGCTATGGTAAACAAAGTGAATTTTAAAGAATGCATTTATTCTACTGTGGTTTATGCGCTGTCGGCGAAGTAGGTTTAATTCAATCTAATAAGTTTAAATGAAATGGAAGAAAAAATGCGTATAATTTAATATTCCGTACAAGGAAGTCATGTGGTGAACACATCAGACTTAATAAATTTGCATTTTTTCCTTTAAAAGCAATTGAATTATTGAATTACGTTCCGGCTGAGGTTCTTATGCCTCAGCCGGAACGTAAGAACAGATCTCTTTAATTTCCATGCAATAGTTGCAGAATTATCAACAATTAAAAAGTTGTTTAAATGCTACTAAGCCGCCATTTGTTTACATTTGAAAGTCTTAGCAAACCAGTGAATTAAATTAGTTTCTGCACCAATTTCAGTGTCTTTTTGTTTAGTGGGTTTCAATTTTGTACACGGAAAAATCTGTCTTCCTGACTGCTTCCCGAATTGTTTGATTTTGCCTAGAAACTCTAATTTTAATTGTAAATAAAGTGTTTTTTTAAATGTTTTTAACTATGTTTGATGTTTTACGTTTTCCCGCATTTTACAATTTGTTATGAAGATGGTTTGACTTTTTATGTATTTGTGTCTTGCCGCGAAATGAGATTTAAATTAATTGAGAAATATATGTCTAATAAAATTCGAGGAAATAAGTCTGAATGAAATACAACAAAATACGTGTATAATTTAATATGCTGTATAATGTAGTCATGTGGTGTGCACATCAGATTTTGAAATCTATTTTGACCGCTCTCGAATCCATTCGAACGATTTTTTTGCGTGATATGTGTACATACGGGCAGAATAAAGGACTCTTTTCCCAACACAGATTGTTAAAGGGATTTAAAATAGATTCAAAAGAATTTTTCATGACATCTGTACGTACATATGTATGTATCTCGCATAACTCAAAAACAAATAGCCTCAGAACGTTGAAATTTTATATATGATTCTCCAATAACATGTAGTTGTGCACCTCCGTTTTCGGTTGCAATCAGCCGCACCAGACGCATATATATATCCACTCTATTCACCGGGTCGGTGAACTCAGTTTTTTATTCTTAAATGTTGTTAAATTGTCTATTTTTTTTATATTGTTCTTACGTTCCGGTTAAGGCTTTTTTGCCTTTAGTTAATCTGCAGTCAATAGTTGTAGAATTATCAGCAATTCAAAAGTTGCTTAAGTGGCCTTAAGCCTAATGAAGCCGCCATTTGTTTACATTTGAAAGTCTTAGTAGAACAGTGAATGAAGTCAGTGTCTGAGCAAAGTTAAACTGCGCCGGAGCCCGGCTCCGGTACTTCTTAGTTTTGGGGATAAATCATAATTCTAGTCGGAGCGCACCGGAGCCCTAACTGAGAAAGCTCCCGCGCTTCTTTTTTGTAACTGAAAAACAATTTCAGTAGAAATTTGATCTCGAAAATTTTATTTTTTGCAATAAAATTATATTACAAATCGCTTATTAAATTTTAATTTATCTCTTTACATTTTATTTAATATTTATTTAATTATTTAATTACGTTTATCTTTAATTACTTAACTATTTTAATAATAATAGTAAATGTATTTTATTGAATTAAATAATAATAATTAATTAAATAATAATTGACAAATACTAATTATTAAAATTAATTAAATAATAACTACTTTCGTAATAATTAAATATTATATTTTTTAAAATATTAATGATTTTAATAGTCATTTTATTTATTTATTTACTTTTGCTCCTCTTTGCTGACGGTCTTCCATTAGGCTCCGGCACTTCTAATTTTAGAAATTAAGCCCTATGTCTGAGGCAACTTCACCAACTTTTTACCGAGTGGAACCAAAAGTAAACTTTCAGTTCTCTACGCCGGAAAATCTGGCGTCCCGCCCACTGGCCGAATTTTTTGTTTTTGCGTAAAAACTCTAATTTTAATTGTAAGATTTTTTTTACTGTTTCTAACTGTATTTCGTTGTTTTCTTTTTCTGTATTTTACAGTTTTCAATGAAGTTGTTCCGAGTTTTTACGCATTTTTGCCTTGCCCGCGAAGTGAGACCTGAATTAATTGAATGAAATATATTTCTAATGAAATTCGAGGAATTAAGTTTAAATGAAATACAGCAAAAAATGTATATAATTTAATAGTGCGTACAAATTTAATAGTCATGTGGTGTCCAAATGAGAGTTTTATTGTAGGGAATTATCACATGCCCCCATTTATGCTGTTATGTGTAAGTGTTTAGCACATTCAACTACTTTGCACAAGACCCGTGGTCCGAATCCCAGAGGTAGCATACTTTACTTTTCATGTTTCCTGCTACAAAAATCCTAATAACTTCTACAACTTAACAAATGAAGTAATTTAAACGCAACAAAAGCATTTTTTATCTTTTTTAACTTTCCCTTTTCTACGGTATATTTAACTAAAATAATCTTTCTGATCTAATTAAGGTAAAATGGTATATAGTCTAACTCCTTTTTACTTCCTTGTACGAAGTAAAAAGGAAGTATTGTAATCGCGAAAAGTTTCAGGCAGCATATTTCAACGAAACTATCCATTTTGACCGCTATCGAATGCAATTTAACGATGTTTTTGCGTGGTATCTGTACGTAAGGACAGAATAAAAGATTCTTTTCCTCCAAAAAAAAATTATAAAACTGCTTTAAAATGAATTTTGAAGAGAATTTTTCATGGTTTCTGTACGTACGTACGTATGTATCTCGCATAACTCAAAAACGAGTAGCCTCTGAACGTTGAAATTTTGTATATAGGACTGCTATGACATGTAGATGTGCACCTCGTATTTTGGTTTCAATCGGCCGCACCAAATGTATATAAATATATTTATATACTATACCTAATTTTTAAATAACATGGCCGTCATGCTTGTTTACATTTGAAACAGCAGAATAGTAAATTTGTTGCCAATCTAGACAGACTAAGCTTCGCAACAACAAAGATAACGCCTTAATTTATTATTGAGAATTAAATCATGCTTAATCCTATTTTATCCTGCGTATAATTTAATATTCCATACAAGGAAGTGATGTGCTGTACACATCAGGTTTTTTAAATTAATATTAGCACTAGTAGTATTTTTAATAAAGAGCTATATTATAAATGCTTTACAATATGTGTGTATATATGTATATATAGTTAACAGAAGAATATATATATGTTTTAATTATAAATAATTAATAAAAGGCTATACATGTATAATGACACATAATTAATAAAAGGCTATACATGTATAATGACACATAATTAATAAAAATTTATATTAGAGTGCCTTGTGTTATAGAGAATAATTATTTGTAATGTACCATAACGAGTTTATTATGCAATGTTTTATTACATGCCATTAATATTGTTTGTCAACTTTTACATGTTGTAATTTTATATATGCGATAGATGTGCCAGATATCACGGTATTGGCTCTATATTTATTTCGACATACAATTTGAACATCATGTTTTTTAAAATAAAAAACTTAAATTCCAGTCATTTGGACGAAACTTTAAATATATATATATATATATATAGTCCATGTTAGAAATTTTTATTACTTTTTCTCATAATTTGGCTTCAATCCATTTTGATGTTTATCGATAGCATTCGAAAGAAGTATTAGTAACGACAACGACAAAAAGTGCACGCGTTTCAGACAGATCGAATATCAGAATATCTGTCTACATTTAATCAAAGTTCTCTACATTAGATGCATATTAATCTTTCATTGATAAAAAAATACGAGAACCACCTTCTCAATGAAGAGTAAAATATCAAAAACAAATATTTTATCTAAACTTCGAAATAAGGCAGTAAGCTGTTAGCAAACGTGATCTTATTTTATCAGCTTTGTTCGTAAAAGAGCCAGTTGGACTTAAAGAACGAAAAGTAAAGCAAGCAGTCGCTTGTAAATATCGTGGAAGATTCGAACAAGCGATTCGTCAGCATGAGACGGATGCGGCGAAGGAGCAGTGAGGAGAAGAGGGGAGGGGTAGAAGAAGAAGAGAACGTGATTTTGGCCCGCCAAGGTGCGGCAGCTGTGGTTCAAGTAAAGCTCGCTTTCGGATCAACACGAAAACATCTTCTAACTCCTCTCTGCTGCTCCAGTTATAGAACGTAAGTGAGAATGTTGCCATTCGTTTTCATACTTTTATCTGTTTATATTTGGAATTCATTTTAGATGTTTTCATTTAGATTGAATATTTAAGACAAATATTCCTAATTAATATTTTCCATTTTCTTAGACATACGGAAATTTTTGAAGGTAAATAGGAATGTAAGGAAATTTCTTCTGTTAGAAATTTACAATGCATTTGATTTACGAACACTTTGATACAAAACAGATTTTTTTCCTCTTTTCGAATTTTATTCCGAAAATTTTAATTACAAAAATGATGCTTTTCATCGGGTATTTAATTTATATGGGCGAAATCCTGGAATTATTTATTGGAGAAATATTAATTTAAATAAAAATTTCTTCTGTTAACTTGAAAACTCTTATTTAGCTGGTGCTTCTTCTTCTTCTTATTATTATTATTATTATTATATATTTTGTAAAACTCGCTTACATTTTTATATGTAAATGAAGAATTTGACGATCTTCAGATGGATATTGTGTTTTAGTGTAATTATACTACTCAGAGAGGGTAGAAGATTTTATTACATGTTTGGATACATTATTACTTTAAAGGTTTGCTTTAAAACTTACTGTTTTAAATGAAATACTCTTAAGAAACTGTTAACATTTAATCTAGCTATAAAAGTGAATTATTATCATTAATCCAAAACGGAATCCTCCATCGAATATGGGAATCTGAAAGCCCGAATTTGGAATTTGTTTTACTATCGGTTTCATATTTTGTAAACTTTGACGAATTTTTGATTAATTAAACTCAACGATTTGAAAGCGAACAATGGCAACACTGTACAATATATATATATATATATATATATATATATATATATATATGTACAATATATACAATATATATATATATATATATGTATATATGTACAATATATATATATATATATATATATTTATTATATATCCAGCGCGCGAGACTGTGAATCGCAAAGTCTAAAGATAGGCTCATTTTAAAATTATTTTGCGATATTGCTAAATATCGCAAAATTTAATTTTATGGTTTAAGTGCGAAGACCACAATATTTAATAAATAATGGTAGCACATAAAACGTTAATAAATCGCCTTTTTGGGCGTAATGTAAAATCTGAAAGCTTTCAAATTTTTTTAGCTCCAAGGGTGATAGCCCAGATTAATTCCCTGTTAACTTATTCGTTTATTTATTAATTCGTTTTATTAATTTCGTTTTTGGAATTTGTTTTATTATTTGCTTCATGTTTTGTAAAGCCTTTATGAGTTTTTGATTAAAAACGCTTTAACGAACGTTCAACGATTTCAAAGCGAGAAATGGCAACACTGCGAAAAAAAAAATTTTTATCTCCAACGTGCGTGACTGTGTATCGGAAAATCTAAAGATATACGCTTTTTAAATTATTATGCGATACTGCTGTTGAATAGAATTTTATGGTTTAAATGCGAAGAGTATTTATGGTTTAAATGCTTAATAAATAAAGGTAACACACAGAACGTTAAAAAAAAAGCCCCTTTGGGCGTAATGCAAAATCTGAAAACTTTTTTAAAATTTAAAAAATGTTAAAAATTTTCAGAAAAAAGTTTTAAAAAGCTTTAAAACAATTTAAGTTAACCAAAAAATTAATTAAAATTTTTTATTTATTAAAAAGCTTTAAAACAATTTAAATTAAATCAAAAATTAATTTTCAGTTTTTGAAAGCTTGAAGAAGCTTTCAAAAATTGACTTTTTAAAATTTTTATTTCCTCTTTTTTTGTATTCTTTTGTTTGGCTAGGAAGAGAGTCTTAAATTATGTTCCTTCAGCAATGAATTCTTCACTACGTTTTCTATCTTTTTAAAAACATTCATTTCTACAAAATTTATTTGAAAAAACTATTTTAAAATATCTTGACTATTGTCTGAGATTGATATGCACAATTAATGTTACAGAAAGATGTAATTCTTGTGACGGAATTTTCTGATTGTGGAAATTATACATTTTCGATTTCCGAGGTTTAAAAACTATTTATGAAAATCAAAATTGTCGATATGTTTAATGCACAAAATGTTTTCATAGGCAGTTATTACGAGAAGTGAAATGAATTTTGTAAATAATTTCTGAGTGGCTTTGTATAAATTGGTTATTTAGTTTGACTTTGTATAAATTGGTTATTAGGCTTTGTATAAATTGGTTATTTAGTTTGACTTTGTATAAATTGGTTATTAGGCTTTGTATAAATTGGTTATCTAGTTTGACGCAAATTCTCCCCCTCTTTTTTTGGGGGGGGGGTATAATTTCTAAACTGTCCAACTGAAATTTCTTGAAAAAATTTAATTTTATTTTCCAAAGAAATTAAGCGAATTTAATCCAAATAATTTAATTTCAGTCAACTCACTGAATATTTGTAATTTACAAAACTGGTTTATTTAGCTAATTATTGAACAGTTTTTGAAAACGCAGAATTTAAATTGAATTTTAACTCTTTCTCGCCTTATTTTCGCAAGTGGTAAAATAGGAATTTAATGATTATAATAAAACATATTAACTAGTTTTAGACTCACAAATGAGATAAAATTATTTTTTTTATCCTTGCATTATTTCCACGTTAAAAACTATTCTGTTTATCATTTTAAAATTCGTTAAAATTTGTTTTGAAATTCTATCTAAATTTTTTAGTTGAAATTTTCAGAATTCCTTTTACGTATTTATTTTAAAAAATTATTTTGTTTAACACTCTTTTAAAAGGCTTAAACTTTCCGTTTATTTTTCAAATACTTCGGTACGCAAATTCATAAAATTGGCTAAAAACAAATTTAGTAATATATCATATAAAACGATAAATGATTTTCATTTTAAAAGTCAAATAAAAACACTTTTTTAAATGCAGATTATTTGTAAGCAAAATGCTCTATTATATATTTATAGTTTTTTAAATTCACTTATTTTTTAGATATCTGAATCTAAACCTTTAAAATTTTACCCACTAACTAAAAGTAACATTTTCAAGATTGAATAACTTCATGAATACGTCACATATATATTTTTCTGAGATAGAATAAAATGAAATATTCTATTGAAATTGTTATTTACGAAATTATTAAGTAAACGGGATCTGGCAAAATAAATGTAATCAAAATTATTCATTTAATAACGACTTTAGCTCTTTCTGTTTTTTAAAACTCCAGAAGTTTCTTACTGTTATTATTGTTCTTGCAATTATTGTTTTCAGAAAAACTAGCATGTTCAATAACCATGTTCTAGGTCATGTTATGAGGTAGGGAGTTAGGTATGGCACGGTTCCCCCTCCTGGCAAGCCCAAGCTAGCCTTATGACTTTTCTAGGCCGGCCATGTTATAAAGTTCCTCCAGCATGCTTTCTTGGTGTAAGGGTTGCACACTCGGAGCGGATTCAAGAGGTCCAGATTCGTGTCCAGGCGAAGGCATTACTAATTTTCCATACTCCCAGCATAAAAAAAAATGACTTTACAACGTATTCCAGAAGAGGATTTTTTTTTTTTTTTTTTTTTTTTTTTTTTTTTTTTTTTTTTTTTGGTAACACCTCTTTACTAAAAATGAAAATTTCCGTACCCGCTGTTCCCAATAATAACAATATTATCTACCTATAAAGATAGTGAGAACAAAAAACATGTCACCCAACCAGGATAGTGATTAGTGACTGTGATTACTGTACCGAAAAGACGGGGTTTGAATTCCGGAGAGGGTATGGATGTTTATAAATGTATAGTGTCTGTGCGGTATAGGGCAAATATGTGAGGAACCGAAAGTCCTTTTTAGAGTTTGGTGACCGTGAACTAAATCACATTACGGGTCTACTCCCCCTTTGGGCACTTGGTGGAGGTTCACCCTCCACTATTACCCTTCCAGGGGAGCAGCGCACCACCTGGATATGATACCAGGCAGCACTGGCCGTCAATTGCTCCTGCCAGTCGCTTGGGCGAGCCCGTCGCAGAGGGCCGTTACCCAGCAACCAACCGCTCAGGAGCGCTCAGGACATGCCGAGGCCGGCCAATGAGTGACCTTTCCCAGGGCCTTCAGAACCCTATGTTCATGAATTTTATACCCCCCCGTGGCCGAGACTACCTAGGTACAGATCCTAGCCAGTAGCTTCGCAGAATTCTCTACCGTCGACCTCCGGGGGGGTATTGGAGACAGGAGAAGTGAGGTGGAAGATCCTCGGATCCGTCTCTCTGAGGTGCTCTCGGTCAAAATGGAGGGGGGCGGAACTGAGCTAAAGTCGGGCATTCACATATATGGTGTTCAAGGCTCTGAATGTCGTGGGCTTGCGCTGACCATTGTCAGACAAGTGAGATAGGTTAAAACAACAACAGGACAAAAGCATAATGTATAAAGGTTTTATTATAAAAATATACTGTTTGCACACACGTATGTAAATAAATAAATAAATGGGACAGATGAGCTTGCTATTATTGATAAAATTTTCAATTCTTAATTGAATAGAAGAAAGTGCGCAGCGTAAATTATATATTATGTTTGTAGCGTAAATTATATATTATGTTTGTAGCGTAAATTATATATCATGTTTGTAGCGTAAATTATATATTATGTTTGTAGCGTAAATTATATATTATGTTTGCAGCGTAAATTATATTTTATAATATTATGTTTGATTTTATGATTCGCTTTTACTGCTACAACTTCTGAAAACGCCGTTTCGCACAAATAAGTGCTTGAAAACGGTATTACAGTTGTAGCCTTGCTCTGCAATGTTGGAATAAAACTCCGAGATATTCTACCCAAAATAATATTGGCTTATGCATCTTCTGAAATTCACATTTAGCTGCAGAATCATTTATAATGCTCAAAGCTTGTTCTTGTAGTATTTCCGGCAACACACCTTTGTCAACGTAAAAAGGATTTGTCACCAGTTCTATAAATGTTATCATCACACGAGTGTTTGCGAAGTAACTGTTGAATTTCTCAATGTAGTAGCTCAAAAAAAAAAAAAATTGATATATTATTCTTATAAGTATCCTTAAAA